CCGGCGGGCTCCCCGCGGACAGAGGCGAGCCGGGAGCGCTCGCGCACCAGCCAACTGCCCCCTTCTGAGTGCGGAGCGCGGTCCTCCAGCGACTGCACTAGCAAAGTGGCCCGCTGCCACCGCGTTATTCACCTAGTGGAGGCGGCCTGATTTACTGGCGACTTCACAAACCCAACTCCACGCTGGAGCATTTGCATGGCTCTGTTCTCGCCTCGAGGAGCAAGCAGCCACTAGCGAACCCGGTGGAGCAGCTTGCTGCGAGAAGGAGCCGGGAGGGAAACTGTGGTACCTTATTTTACTGTAATTGCAAAAGGAACGATGTGCCAGAGATTTATATTTAGAAGTTGTATGTTTCTACTTTTATGTAAATGGAGCAATTAGGGCCTGTCTTGCTGCTGCTAACTCCAATGCGTGTGCATTGCTGGGGAGCTGGTGTTTTCAATCACAATTAGTGAGCTGGTCAAAAAACAAAGTTCGTTTAAGGATAAGAGCTCAATTGTGCGAATGGGGGAGAGGCCAGCTTTCGTGTGCCGGCCTGTGGCTTGCGGTGACACCGAGCTTAGGGCCACGGCCAACCTTATAGTGGTGTTTACCTGTGGCAGCAGCTGTCCTTGTTCAAAGTTGGCATAAATGAGGAAGCAAGAATGTTCACTTTTCTTCTCAAGCAAACCGTCTGTCCTGCAGCTTTCATCCACGCTATTAATTGGGCTCTTTCCTCACTACTCCTGGAAGAAGGAGACAGGCCCAGAAAAGTGGGGGGGGGGGGGAGCATTTTTTTCAGGGCTCTATTATTTTAGCTGCTGCTCACAGATTGCTGTTATTCAGTCAAAAATACAAGCCAGGAGATGTAAATGTCCCAAGCAGGTGACTGGAATACTGTCCTCTGATTCAGCTGAAATGACACAAGGCTGGGGGTTCAGAGGCATGGACAGGAGTGCTGACGAGTCAGGGTGTTTTCGTTCCTCCCTATGAAAAAATCTGTTTCCAAAAAAGCATGGTTTCTGGTTCACCCCGTCTGGGAAACGGAACATAAAACGTGACTATGGAGAGAAATCAAAAGGACCCGAGGTGTTCTCAGCCACTGATGTGTTTTTCTGGGGCTCAGGCCGGAAAACCTGGGCTTATTGGTAAGGGGTGACTCCCTTGAGAGGCAGCTCAGAATCCAGAGAAAGTGGGCAGGATCCAGAGTGCTATTTGCTGCAGGGAGATGGTGGGAGTCTGTAATGAAGGGTCTCATCAAATGTTCAATCGAAGATGGGATTGGCAAACCCTGCCTGTTTCCTGGACAGCTGTAGCCTGTACATAGCTTGGGCTGCATGTTAGTTAGAAAGATTTGGGACAAAGAAGAATCAGCTGTTTTGCTTTTAAGTTAAATCAATGAATGAATAGCTCCAGAGAAGGAGAGGGAAACATTAAAAAGTCCTCTAGAATTCATTAAGAACAACAGGTCAGCAATGGTTAATCCAAAACTTGACTCCTAAGCCTCCCATTTCTTTCAGAACCACCAGAATTTCCCACAAGGCCTTCTGCTGTGTAAGAGTACTCTGTTTCTGGAGTATTTGGGAATGCTATTTTCTGAACCAAGGGAACCCAGATACTAGAACTAAAACAATTAGGGAAAGGAGACGAAGGGAAAAAGAACCCAGCAAGTAAACGATTACTCTCCGTTCTACAGCAGTGGTTCTCAATTGGGGTGATTTTGCTCCCGGGGGGACCTCTTGCCATGTTTGAAGACATTTTGGTTGTTCCAGCTGGGAGGGAGATTCTGCTGGCCGCTAGTGAGTAGGGGCTGGGGATGCTGCTAAATACCCTACCATGCACAGGACAGCCCCAACAGCAAGAAATTAACTGGCCTGAAGTTCTGCAGTTGAGATACCCTGATTTCATGTTATCATTTTAAAGTTTCACCCAACCTACTCCCTATCCATCTCCAAGAGACCCTGGAAACAAAAACCGAAAAATGCAACTTCTACAAAATATTAATAACTCAAGTGATTCTGCTTCCTCTTGCATCTCACATTTTCTGATCACTGGAGACTTACAGATGCAATGTTCCTCTTGGGCAACATCGTTGTTCGAACCAGCTTTCACCTACAGCCTCAATACATTTTCCTGCTGGCTTTTTGTTCTAACCCAAAGCAGAACCTTGGTGACCAGCAACAAAATGAGATGGGCTGGCCCACGCCCAAGTAGTTAGGAGACAAGAGACTCATGCAAAAGAGTAAATGAATAAAGGATTGAGTTGTTCATTTTAGCAATTCAGTATCAGATAAATCCATGCAATAGAGAATTCCCTGAAGTAAAATTCACAAAAGTGAGATTCCCATGCCGTTCTCCTACAGCAAACAAATATGATGTAGCTCAATTTTATTTGTTTAATACCTTAGGGGAATGACATACAATCAATATCCAAAGAGATAAAACAGCGCTTTGCTAAATCCTAATGGCTGTTGCAAGCAACACTATATTCTCCAAACTTCCTTTGTAAAAGGAAGATGTGTGGCTTTTAAAGGAAGGCCATGCCCTTCCAGGTGTTGCTTTCCTGTGAGGACTGGGGAACCTATTGTGAAGGATTCCACCTCGTGGAAAATCCTAACAGTAATCGACAAGCGTTGGTGAAATGCACAAAAGGGCGATTGCCAGGATGAAACTGGCTTACAACCGAAATCCTATTGTCCAGACCCAGACAGTGAGGGCCTGCTTCCGTGGTTCATCCCTTGGCTCCTGAGTGACATGGGTCATCCAGAAAGGAAAGGGGAGGTCAGAGATCATTTTAAGATGAAGGGAGCCATGAGGGGAATGTCTTAGACACTCTGACGCCATGTCATCTCTTCCAACATGTGAATCACTGTCTCCTCAGGTAAATGGTCATTTTGGAACTAAAGGCTTCAATCAACTCTCAAATGATTCAGAAGTGCCTGGATTTCTTCCCAAGAAGTAACCATGTAGTACATGTAAAAAAAAATTCAATATTGAGAGAAATACTCATTTACAACCACTATAGAGAAACATATATTGAAAAGAAACCCAGACTAACTCAAACTGAAGAAATATGCCCTCAACATTCTTCCTGACCAATATATATTTCACAATTGTTTATCGTAACTCTCAGTTCTAACCCAATCAGGAAACATCTGCTTCAACAATTTATCTTCCTGTTGCCCCAGAAGATTATTGAAAAATACTTCCCAAGGAACATAGAACAGATTGTTGTAATCGTTTTTCTCACCTGGATCCCCTCGGGTAATAAGTTCCATTGTTGACTTGAAGACATAGTGGTTTAGTATGTAGATTCCAGTGGACTGATAAGAGAGCAGAAATCTTGATTCACATCCAGTTTTGGCTGTCCAAAAGATCCCCCCACAACCTGTTCCCAAATCTCCACTTGGAGGGAAAAAGCCCCACAGAAAAGCCTGGGGACTGTCCTGTGTGTATTTTTTTGAATCAGTGAATTGCTGCCTCCCTCATGTCCTGGCAGAGTCCAAAGGTTCTGCCCTCTGTGGGAGCAGCGCCAAGGCATGGTCTGAGTGCCACTGTTCACGAGTTCTGGGGACTCGCGTGGACACTGGCAATGACTCAGCTAGGTTGGTAAATATTTCCAGGTGGCCCACTCTAATTTTAGGAAGGTCAAGTTTGCAAAGGTGAAATAGCAAGCAGGACTTCTGTCACCCTTTATTGGACTGGAAAAGCAAACTGTAATTAAGCACAATATTCTTACAGAGTTTAAAATGAAGTCATTGAATTCAACAACCAGCTTTAAACTTTCAAAAAATAACTTATGGCCACAATCCCTCTTCTACTCATTGAGTTCCTCTTGAAAGATGGAAGAGTATATTGAATGAGGGAGGAGTCATTATAGTAGAAGGAAAAAAATGCTCCAGAAAACCTCTCTCCCAAAGGCCACGGGTTCATTTGTGATCCCTTAATGAAACAGGGGCAGAAAGCCAATAAGGTAATTTTAGCCAACTCCAACATCAGTTAACTATGAACTGAGAATAATTAAAATGCTGCTCCCTGTAGAAAAGAGTTCACCCAATAAGTTTCCCAAATTTCAAGGAGCTTTTGTTTTATTAGATGCTGTTAGCTTCATGTTAGTCACAGGAAAAAAAAAAAAATGCCCACATACACACGCACAACTAAATGTAGTCAGTTTGCTCAGCTGCTGCTGACGTCACTGCTGCCCACTAGGAGTGAGTTACTGTCATAACCCCTCTTTTATTAATCATAGGCTGGAGGAAGCACAAAGTGGGTGACATCATTAGGCAAAGGACCGGCTAACTCATGCTCCAATTTACTCAGCTTTATTATAACATTTCTCGAGTGTCATATGCAAGTGATTACCATTTCACACTTTCCCCATCTGAGCAATCATCCCTAACCTTCAATTCAAATTCCCAGAGAAAAGCTTAGCTTTTCAGATGGAGGTGCATAAAAGCTAAATCTCACTAAGGGTCCTTGTCCCGACAAGGAATGTTCTCCACAGAATTCCTTCTTCCTGGGTCTGAAACAGAGGCAGCTTCTTGAACCATAGCATACTAAATAATTCTCCATTGTCTCTGGCGTTGGTGGTGGTCTCTGAGTGGAGAAGACCCTGACAATCCAGATGGGTCCAGCCAAGTATGGCCTCCTGGTGAGCAAGGGCACAGGTACCCTTCACAGTGCTGTGAAGTATGAAAAATACCATTTGAAGATGAGTTAAAAGGTAATGGTTGAATGTGTGGGCCCTGCAGTCAGACTGCCTGGGTTCAAATTTAGGATTCACCACTTTCAAACTGGAGGATGCTGGGGAAATGACTTGGCTTCCCAATTAGTATAATAAATGTGGATAATAACAGCACCTCCCTCATAGATAGGATTGTTGTCAGGGATAGCTGAGTTAATCGTGTGAGCCACATAGAATGTACTGGTACATAGTCAGTGCTGTTTACTGATATTATTTCTCTTCCTTTTTAAAAAAAGCTTTATTGGCTGACCTGAACTCCCTGCATCCTACTCTGTAGAGCGTTGGAAAGATGGGCAAATGCTCTGTGACAAGCCACCAGGGCAGACTGGTACTGGGAAGACCCCACTACACATTGGGCTCTGTCCCTGGCTGGAAAGTTTCAAGTCAGTCCACCTCCCTGTGGTCCAGTTTCCACTCCTACTACTCTTTACCCATGAGGAGCTTCTGGAAACTAAGAAAGGTACGTAATCAAAACCAAAAGAAGACATTGGTTCAATGATTCCCAAGAGCTCAGGATCATGTTTCTGTTGTTTCTTTTTAAATAGACAGTATTCTCAGAGTGTTCAGTAGCTACACACACACACACACACACACACACACACACACACACACTCCACACAGAAAACTAACATCTCTGCAATGTTGTATGCATAGGAAAAGCAAACGTTTTTACCGTAGGCTGGGATATGCTTCATCCTCTTAAACTAGCATCTTGAGGTCTTTACAGAAGCCATTTTATAGATGCCTACACTCATCCCCTTACTTGCATTCTCATCCTGAGGGTATTTTAAGGAGTCAAAATAAAATTTACTTAGCTGTGTGTGAGAGACAGAACGATAGACCACAAGAGAAGGCTAGGGCTTCGTAATATTTAGATAATGACGAAACTGAAAGAGCTGATGCAGACTGCAGTAACTATATTGGATACTTTACTATTTGGGTTTACCTTTGCTCGGTAGTGAATTATAAGCACTGTACTAGGTGAGAGGTTTGGCTTCCAAAATGCTCAGCTGGTGCAGGATGGAACTGCAAGACCACGTCACCTGGTAAATAAAATAATAATACACAGCAATTTTAGGATCTCCTAATTGGAAGCTTCTTTTTGACAACAAAAGATGCCAGGATATCTGCTGCCCCCTAACTGGTACCGTGAAGAATAGCACATAACTTTTTAAGAAGCGAAGTCCAATGCAGGTACAGTTAAGTTGGTGGCTAAGTCTACCTCCTAAGTTATGGTTGTGAATTTGGCCTTTTCCGTGAACCTGTTGCAACTAAGGCAAAGCCATCGGGTAGAGTCCTGTTTTCCTGTTTTACTTCTGTCTTTTCGTGACAGAGAGGCACTCCTGATTTGCAGCAGCTGCCTCGGGAGAACAGGGTTGACCAAAGCACATATCTCCAACACCTACTGTTAATCATGTGACTAGAGAAAACTCTTGCGGGGGGCATTCAAATTTCCATAACCTTCTTCTATGGAAATTTCTAAGAGACCCAGAAAAGGAACGTAACCATGAGGGAGAGTGAATCCTGCAGACTTGAACAGTCCAGACTTAACAGGTGATCCAGCTGTCTGTCAGTAGGAAGAGGCTGAGGCGCCCCCTTCTGGTGCATATGAATAGGAAGAAACCCTGTGTAGAAAGAAACCCTGTAGCAACTGGGCACCTTCTCTGTGATCCGTCCACTCCCAATACCAAAATTGTTGCTTTTTAAATGACATCCATCCTAAGTTTAAAAAGACATGCATTATTCATACAAAATGTTAAAGATGTAGAACAAAAAATGTGAATCACATATAATCATCCCTCCCAGAAAACATCGTTATTAAAATTTCTGTGCATATGTAAAGCAAAATTACAATCCTACTGTAATATAATTCTGTATATTGATATTTTTCACCTATATTTGTATGTTGAGCATTTTCAATGGTCAAATTATTTCTTAAAAATATTAAGGACTGGGGAGTAACCTTTAAAACAGGTGTGTCTTTATTTTTAAACTAGTCCACAATTCTTGTATATGGAAGTCACTTCCCAAATTTTGCAAGTATAAATATTGCATCCACACTCTTATATGTTTAAATGCATCTCTTATTAGTTCCTTGAGTTAACTTCCTAGAAGTTGAATTACCGGATCTAAAAATACGGACATATTTGGGCCAGACATGGTGGCTCACCCCTGTAATCCCAGCACTTTGGGAGGCCAAAGCAGGTAAATCACTTGAGGTGAGGAGTTCAAGACCAGCCTGGCCAACATAGTGAAACCCTATCTCTACTAAAATTACAAAAATTAGCCAGGTGTGGTGGCACATGCTTGTAGTTCCAGCTAGTCAGGAGGCTGAGGCAGAAGAATCACTTGAACCCAGGAGGTGGAGGTTACAGTGAGCCAAGATGGTGCTACTACACTTCAGCCTGGGCAAGAGTGAGACTTCATCTCAAAAAATAAAAAAAAAATAAAGAATAAATAAAAATGTGAACATATTTAAGATCTTCATATATATTACCAATTGCCCTCCTGGAATATTTTACCTGTTACATTCCAACCAATAGTATAAGGACATCCCTCTTTCTCTGTGTTTAGGCATGGATGTTATCAAAGTTCTCTGCCACCCAGGCCAAATATGGTATATGCTTTGTTTTAATTTGAATTTTAAAATTATTATTTAAAATGGACATTTTGTGGTCCCTTTGCACAACTTTCTTTTGAGTCACTGTTCATGTTATTTGCCCATTGTTTCTTTTATTAATAAGAACCCTATTCTTATTTTTATATTTTCAATAAAATTTCATCGTATATACATTTATATTATTTATAATAAAGTATATTTTATTATTAATGAGAACTCTTTTTATATTAAGGACCCTAACCTACTGTCTGCTACATATTATTATAATTTCTTTTCCTGTTAGTTCCTGGCCCTTCAATTTTGTTTCTATTAATAGTATTTCAGACCAAAAGAGAGTTTACACGTTTTTGCTATCTTTATGCTGAGGCTTCTCCATTGGGAAATTAAATTGATATTTATGTATATTTCCCACTAAATATTTTTTGGCACTTTGTTCTTTAATCCAACATATCTGGAATACATTTGGCATACAGAACAAGGAAGAGCTATGACTTTTAAGAAAATTTTCCAAAGATTGAATGAGCACCATTTATGAACTTTTCACTTTGGAATGCCATTTTCATCACTTATTGTATGTGTACAAATATGAGCACTAATTTCATTCCATTTATCCGTAGTGTGTTGCTAAGCTTGTGATCCCATTTCATTCGTATCTTTTTCCAGTTTTAATGTTGTTCATTTCGCTCTAGTTCTGTTCTGTCCCAGGTCTTTTTATGTATGTGACTCAAGTCCACAACCCAACAGCTACCTTGATTAAAATATTATTTCCAAATGCCAGGGCTTTGTAACAACTGTAGACAGTTCTAGGTTTTTCTCTACCTGTAGTTACTCAAACTTTGTCATTTAATGATACCGTGTCATTGAATAGTGTGTTTGTTTGTTTGCTTGCTTTTTGAGACAGAGTCTTGCTCTGTCATCCAGGCTGGAGTGCAGTGGCATGATCTTGGCTCACTTCAGCCTCCATCTCCTAGGTTCAAGCAATTCTCGTGCCTCAGCCTCTTGAGTAGCTGGGACAACAGGCATGCACCACCATGCCTGGCTAACTTTTTGTATTTTTAGTAGAGATGGGGTTTCACCATGTTGTTCAGGCTGGTCTCGAACTCTGAGCTCAAGCAATCTGCCTGCCTCAGCCTCCCAAAGTGCTAGGATTACAGGTGTGAGCTACTGTGCCCAGCCTTAAACAATGCTTTTAATTAAAATAGCTTCTTCCTAATTGTAAAAGTAATACGTGTTCACTTTTCAAGTACAAACACCATGGAGGAAAAAAGAAAGAAAGAAAAAGAGGAAACAAAGAAGAGAGAGAAGGAGGAAGGGAAAAGCGGGAGAGGGGGACAGAGGGCTCCTACAATTTAATCATCCAAAGAAAACCAGAAACAAAATTATGGTTTATGTCTTTCCAGAAATGGAAAGATCTTTCCTCATTTCAGGAACATTTTCTTCTATTGCATTTTTGACAAGTGTTTTTGTTTGTTTCTAAAATTTTCTTGAATGTGTAAATTGTTGATTTAAAGACTCTTTAGTTTTGAGTGTGCTCTTTAGCTTTCTTTACTCTTTTGTTTCGTTTCTTCTTGTTAGTTGAGGAATTTATGCATAAGCCCTATGTTGCTGTTTATTCTTTTCTGTTAACGCGTTTTTGAATGGAATAAGACAGCAGGTCTACTGTTTGCCCTAAAATAGCATGGACGTGTTCTCATCTGTCCTCCTTTTTACTTCTCTAAGCACCATCTACATCTCCTCTAAGGACTGGGTGCTGATGGCCTCTGGGGCCTAGGACAGGAGCTGAGGTCATGGGTCGGAGCTTTCTGGTGACCCTGCAGCCAGGGCCTGTCCTGGCAAGGTAGGAGCGTGTCTCTTCTGTTGGAGGAATATCCTTCAAGTCTCAGCTTGTTCCCTAGTTTTGGAATGGACTGCGTTGGAAAGATGTCGGAGTTGGCAGCCTTTTAATTTGGCACTACTGCATGTATTTAATTCTTCATCATGTCTCATGCTTACGGCTCTCCCTCCTCATTTCCTTACCTGTGGCAAAGCCTCTGTTCCTCCATCCTTTCGATGTAAGCTTATCCCACCATTAACAAAACTTAGGAAACTAAAATCGCTCATGCACTACAGGCTTGGCAGATGCTCACACCTGACTCATTCTCTTGTTTTGGGGTGCTTCCCCTGATGGCTGCTACAGCCATCTGTTGGCTGGCTGCCCCCTGGTCCCCACTTGGACCCTGCTTCCCTGCAGTCCCTTGCATACAGACTCCCTCTGTGGGACACTTCTCCTCCCATGTACAGCCTGCTAGGTCCATGGGAAGCTCAAGCATTTCTAGCCCACTATTGGTGGGAATGTGGTTTCTTTACAAACACAGCCCTCTCCTCCTTTTATCCTTTACCTTTCCATAGACCAATTTACATGTTTTCAGGCATGAATCAAGCATCAGTATCCAGGGTCTCTCAACTATACAAGGTGCTGCTGAAGCCTATGTTATCTGCCTTGAAGTTGAAGAAAGTTAATTAACCCTGCCCTAGAGCTGGGATTCAAACACACATGGCAGGTGTGTCTTCTGAAGGCATCTCCCAAAATCCACCCCCAACTTTCTCTCCATTCTTTTAAACTTTTATATTCTCAACATCTCACCAGAGTCTCAAAGATAATGGAACTTTTTCTCAGACATCTACTTTCAAGATTCCTTTGCAATAGTCCGTATCCCCTTCACTCTGGTATCTGATAGCTGTCTAGTACGTTGAGCCCTGGGTTAGAATTTCAATTTTAAAACCTTATACTAGTTTTAAAACACTAAACATTTGTTTTCTATTACTGCTTGAGTGAAAAATAAGCCTTTATTGATTTTGAGGCATCATCATTTTGGGATCTATTTCTTCTAGCAAGTATTACCTTCAAGAAAGAGAAGAGCAAAAGATTAGAAACTTAAAGGTTGAGCCTTGGGAACCTTCATATTTACGAGGTGAGTGGAGGAAAAGGAGACCATGAGGAGCATTGGGAAGAAGTCAGATGTGTAGGAGAAAAACAAGTAGGGACTATTATCAAGGAAGCCAAGAAAAGTGAAAGTTTTAAAGTGTCACATGACACACAGTGTGGTCAAGTAAGACTCCGACAGAAAGGCCTGCTAGATCTGGCAATACTCGAATCAGAGCTGGTGCCAGGCTGAGCAGATCAGCTTTGTTCCTTGGGGACAGATTTTAATGGGAAGAGGAGGGGCTGAGAAGACTAAGGAGATGTACTCTGTCAAAAGTTGTGAAGAAGAAATTGAGTAATGACTAGAGAAGGAGACACTGAGGAGAATTGAGAGAAAGCCCTTTTACATTTTAAGATTAAGATTTAAGGTTCTCTTCTGAGAGAAGTGAGCTGGTCAAGGTAAATAATTTTACAATATGAGAGGAGACAGAGAAGGGAGTTTCCTGCTTAAGTAAGAAATGACGGATTGATTTCAAAATAGACCCATGTTCACACCAGTTCTTGCCACTTCCATCATTGTCCCTTGGGCCAACCTGCCATCCCTGTTGACCTAAATGTACCACCACACCTGAATAACTGCCACAGCCTCCTAGCAAATCTCCCTACTCCCATCCTTGCCCCCATAGACTACTGGGAATCCAACACTCAAAATGACCCTTTCAAAAATGCAAGACAGATGGGGTCTCTCCTTTGCTCCTACCCTTCCATGGCTTCTCTCCTCACTCACTATTGTGGCCAGAGAGAAGCTACGTGACCTGGCCACATCCCTCACCATGTCTTCTTCTCTGTATCTCCTTGATCTCTGTCTTCCTCCCACGCGATCCCCCTTGCTATCCTTCCAACAGAATGAGCTTGTGCATGTCCCAGAGCCTTTGCTCTTGACTTTGCCTCTGCCAGGAATTTCATCATTTTCCATCAGACACCCTCACAGCTCACTCCCTGACTTTCTTGTTATTTGTCTCCAGATCACTGAAGCCTTTTTGGACCACTCAGTATAAAATAGCAATGGACTCCACCCTGGTACACCCTAACACCCAGCCTGTTTCATTTTTCTTTGTTATATTTATCACCATCTGAGGTCTTTGTTTATTGTCTATGTGACAACACTAGAAGGAGGGCAGAGACGTTTTCTTAACAGCTAAATCTTGGCACCTAAAACTGTCTGGCATGTAGTAGTTGCTCAATAAATATTTGTTGTCTGATGACTTAATCCTAAGCATAGGTGGTAGGATTAGCCTTAAATGAAACAAGAAGAAAAAATAAAGTGTGGGCATAGAGAGACAGGATGATAACTGACAGAAAAGGGAATTAAGAGAATTTTCATCTTATTGATATTGCAATGAAAAAGAAGGTAAGCTCATCTTCTAAGAGAGATGTCAAAGCTGGTGAAGGTGGTGGGGTGGAAGGTTTGAAAAGACAGGTGAAATTTTATAACGGTGGCAGAAGAGGGTAGGAGGTGAGGGGGATTCCAAACACCCCCGGGCATTCTGGAAGACATTGAGATGCACTGAAGTTTCAGGAACACAAAACCACATAGTTGTTCTGTCTTACCTAGGAGAGTTCTTTACTGTAAGGTGTAGAAGAGAGAAGATCAATTGTTTAGATACAGCATTGCTGTCCAGTAGAATTTTCTGCAATCATGAAGAGGTTCTATAGTCTGTACCATGCAGTCGAGTAGCTGCTGGCCACATGTACTTATGGAACATTTGGGACGTGGCTATTGTGACTGGCTGCATAGCACACATAGGGCAACCCAGACTCAGGTTCTGGCAGAGCAGGAGCTGAGAAAGGACAAGAAAGAATGGGAATAAGAGGATATGTCAGTAAAGAGACTGAGCAGTGCCTTCAGGAATGAAGCAAAGCCAGAAGGCCACTGGGTTGTGAAAAAATAGCATCATCCAGGAATCAGAAATATTGATGATGTGAAATGCAAGCATGCTGAGAGAGAGTGAGAGCTGATAGGCATTGGTTCTCAGAAGATGGAATACTGAAGATTACGATTTCAAAGGACAACGCGTTGTGGATAGTGAAACAGCCCAGCGCGTGGTCATGGGGTGTGTTTCTTATGTGGAGTGGTTGTGGAAGTCTTTGCTGTTAAGAGATTCAAAAGCCTGCAAGAGAGGGTTAGCTGAATAAAAAACCTGAGGTACATATCAGGCACAAAGATGCATAATGGAAAAACTGCAACCTTACGGCTGTTTTTGTGTGAAGGTGGAAATGTAATGGAGGTGATGCTCTGTTAGTTAACATTGAGCAAGCACCCATTTCTGCTAGGCTTGAAAC